CTTGCGTCTAATTAGTCTCTATTGTTTTTTTTTAATTTTTTAAAAGTAATGGAAAAATTCGCAACGTGAGATTTACGTATGTGATCGCAGTCTTACGTGCCAAAGAAACCCCGAAACTGTTGGAACTCTGTTGGATATTTCTGGCGGGAAAAATGTGGAACTGGTAATCTCCTCAGAAGACGAAATGAAGCAGCAGACTGACTGACTACGAGACGTTACGGCTTTAGCAACAGCGAGAATGAAAAAGTTGCCAGCTAAATAAATTTAGATTTAAAGTATGAATTAGTGGTTAATCCGGTTTCCAGAACTAAATAAATTTTCTTCGGATTTTTTGACCAACTATCGTTTGGGGCAACTCTCATCCTCTTGTTGTTTTCTAAAAAAAGTTGCCAGCTAAATAGATTTACACCTGCTGGTTAATTTTCCATCAAATTTATTCGTTTTGATGTTTTCACCTGTTGTTTTTCCAAAGGGTGCAAGTAGGGTTTTTTACATTTTAGCGGTGCCGACAAGAAATTGTATTGTTTCATTTCTTATTTAAAATACCTGTAGTAACAGCTTATTCATCGATAGATCTTCATCTATGCAGCTGGCAAATTTTTCGTGAAACACATTCTTGTGCTTTTCGACTCGATCAGCGTGAGGGTGGCCGTATAACTATCTCATTCATTGTCATTTCTTACAAAGAAATTTAAGTTATAATGGAATAACGAGAATTTCCTTGTAATTCCTATGCCTGCTATCTGATATTTCTCATTAAGTCGTGACGTCGAATGGACTAGTCGAGAATGTATTTTAATATACCGATTAAACTGATGTTGTATCAATGCGGGTGTATTGTGTGATTTTTTTTTTTTGTGGTTTTGTTCATTTAAATTGTTTTTTGATGAAAAGAAATAGTGTGAATTGAGAAAATATTTCTCTTTTTTGTGAAAAAGGGGCAAGCGGAGGACCCAAATACACATATTCACTGCTGTATTCTGTATAAATTCAATGCTCCATAGTCGATTCTTCTGCTATTTTTTGCTTGTGTATTGCTAAAGCTTTTCCAGAAATGTATGTACATCTTTTTGTGAATTAAAAATGGTATATGTTTTTGTGTGGGTAAAAATTTCTTTGATAAAATTATCAGTGCCAGTCACTAACAAAGCTGAAAGGAGGGTCACCTCCTGTGCTACGCATATTTGTTAGCAGAATTGTTAGACTTGAATAGACGCTAATGTATGTTTCAATGAAAACTAGGTTTTTGCCGTAACCCTCAGGCTGTCGTAGTAGTGGAGTTCAATTGCGGCGCTGAGTTTAGACGTATGTAGCTCAGTGGTTAAAACTTATGCAAAACCTTTTAAAAAATAACTTTTCTGAAAAATAACTTTTTTTAAAGAAACTTTCACTTTTAAGATCTTTTTCTTCTTTCTTTTCCTCTTCGCTGCACTTTTAATCCTTCTAACCCAACAATCATATCGTTTCCCCTCCTGTTCCTTCCTGTCATCTTCCTCTTTTCCTTTTCCATTAAGAAGCGCGACCGTTATAATAACGAGGTCCTGTCGCGGTGTTAAGACATATGAATTAGTGGACGTCTTATCTCACTCTTCTGAAACGTCTTATCTCACTCTTCTGTTCTCTTATTGTTCTTTCATGCTATAATCTATCGCGCCTTCACCCATTTAGGCTTCTAGGGTCAACTTGATTGCTACAGCCAGTTTAACGGACCGAAACGTCTTAATCTCGGCCAGAACTATTAATAAGCTGTTGCTTCAGTTTTCCATATCTTCAATCAAAACCGGGCAGCTAGCTAATAAAGCTCTTTTTTGAAGAACATTTGCAGTTCTGCTTAAAAACTCAGTAAAATTTGGGTATAAATTAGGGTTATATTTGTTTTTCGAATTTTCGGGTTTAACTTCGCTGGTTTTTCTTTTCGAACTCCAGTTTTCTTGTTTATCTTATTGGGAGTTTATAGGGGAAAATCTTTTTGAAAGAAGTTCACCCTCAACGATTGTTCGGCGGGTGTTCGAAAGATTGTGGGATTTTCTTGCATAATAATTCCTTGGGATTTCTGGATGATGGTGAGTGGGAATGTCGGGATTGCGTCGCATCTCATTTATGATTGCTTCTTTTATTGCCCCATTGATATCCAGCTACATCCCTCTTTGGTCCATACCGGATTAACGGATTGAGGTGATTAACAACGCATATAAGTGCATATAAGTGCACTGTCAATCACCTCAGTTCGTTAATCCGATGGTCTAAAGAGGGATGTAGCTGGATATCGATAAGTGTTGCGGAGAGTGATGCCATGGATTTCAAAGGCACGCATAATATTGATGCTCTCATTGTTCTGTTTCTTCTTGCCGTTAACATAGCTCACAATGTTTTCACAACTCGTGGTTTGTAGCCTTTCACATATCCTTGGGCCTGCGATGCTAGTTGCTTATGGGTCCATGGATGATCTATTGCAGTAGCTTATATCAGAACAAAGCTTAGTTTCCTGCTCTGTCGCCTTATTCATTGGTGGTCATAACGCAATAACAAGCAGTGCTCTCGCCGTGCTGGAAGTGGAAAGATCGATTTCCAGGTGAGGCAACCAGCCTCTCTACGATTCATTCATTCGTTTCGATGGTAAATTGGTACTGACGCGTATAATGGAGTTGAAATCTCCATCAAGCGAGCTCTAAGCATCACCTAAAGAGGAGGCCATCATCTCAGTTTTACCAGCGAGTGGTTGCTCTTGGCATATGCTACCGTTTGGACTACGTCCGTTTGCTTGCGTCTTCCATAAAAAGTTAAAACGAAGGGTCTACTAAGCCTAAGTATGCGAGCGTTAGGCTCAGTAGCGTGTGGGTCAAAAAAAAAATGACCGAAATGACACATACGCTTCACTTGGTCTCTTGGACGAAAGCGGACGTTACCCGGGCCACATGGTCAAAGCTCGGGCAATTGATGCCGCTACCTCTACGCGGTGGAAACCGGTAACTTCGTACTGTTGCGTTAAAGTCTCAGGCGACGGGGCCTGTAGGCCGTTTTAAGATCATTAGGCACACTCAAGTCGACCAGTGTGTTACTGATGGTCCAGCTCCGTAGTAGTGAGGGCTACGAGAGCTGTGTCCGTATATGTGCACCATTGCAGTCGGCGAAACAAAATTAATTCCACAGCTCCCCGT